CCAAACCTGATAATATACTGTATTGTAATTCAATGTCAGACAGAGAGTGAACGAATAACTTTTTTTTTTTCTGAAATGTCACTCCATAGCCATTGATTTAGAAGCTACTAGTAATATCAGAATTAATCCGCTTTTCTCTAATTTTCATTTCTTACTACCAGGAGTGGTAGTTTGTGCATGTATCCAGTCATTAACTGCTTTGACCCTCTGGGATTTATCTGGCCCTGTAAATGCTACTGTGTGTGCACAGTTGCATTCAGGTGTTTGTAAGATATTTTGTTGTTCTGAGCTACTGCATATGTGTGTTGGTTGTCTGTTCTGAATTTTATGTGCAAAGGTATATTCATAGATATTCATATTATGTGGAATTTTGCAGCTTCAACCAAACAGTGCATCTGGCAGTGGTGCTTTGGAACATGATCCATCTTCTATTTATTTGCGCATCCCTGCTGGTGAAGCTGTACCTGGTCCCCTTCCCTTAGGAGTATCTGTCATCGATGCATCTGTGGCTCTCTTTGGTGTGGTTTTTCCTCATGTCTCTTACAAGCATAGGTCAGTTCAATTCCAGAATCTAATGCCTTGTTCTCTGGATAGTATTGTTTGCTGGGTTTTTTTGTTGGTTTTTTTTTTTTTTCCCCCTGAAGTAAGGATCTACTTTGATATCAACTGTCTTTGAATTCAGAATTTACTGTTTGGTATTCAGAGTTCAGTATTTGGTGTTCATTGTCTCAGGATTCCAGAATATATCTACTCAGTTTAGACATAGGGTGGTTTCCTCAGTTTTATCAGTTTTGAAGATTAGGGTTGAGTGGTGGAGACTAGATTGTTCTCTCTTCTTACTGCATTAATAGTAACAATATCTCTGCAACTAAAATTTCCTACAAAATTATTCCGTTGCAATTAACTTCAAATCAGCCTTGAAAACATAGCAGTGATGTCCATTGAGTTTCATTTGCTTCTTTGAATAAGATAGTTTGATTTATACTCCGCTAATGATTTTATGCGTGATGAAAGAGAGGAAATGGAATTCAGCTAATTTTCCTTTGTGTTCTACATTACCTTTGCAGAGTTATAAGTTGTCAGAACTGTTTTTGTCAGTCAGTTTAGCTAATTCGTCACTGAGCACAGAGTGAAGGCAGCTCTAAGATGCGTTTCAAAGTAAAATTGTCCTTCAGTGCAATCCTGATGGGAACCGCTTTTTTTATAGCAGTCAGTCTCATTTTGCAGTAAGCACAGGATAGATTTGAGGCCAGCTTGCAGTAATTCAGCTCAATCTATATCTATTGTTAGCTATGGAAGGATTTAGCTGGGGAATGCCTGAATAGCTAAGAATGCAGATTATTCATTGTACTTCTATTCTTGGTATCTTCTAGGGAGTGCTCCTCCCAGTAGCATTTTCTGGTATGTTTAAAGGGGAAAATGGAGGTTAAATGGGGAAAACAATAGGAACAATAATAAGAATGTGGAGGGTAACACTATATTGAAGAATAGAGGGGAGGCAGTATTTTTCCACTTTTGTCCTCATAGCGTTCTAGTTATACAGCCAAATGTGTCTGAAGACTGATTGCCTCTTGATGGTATTTTCTTCCAAACGAATAGTAGACATTTGTGGATGAGCTAAAAGAACCAGCAAAGCAATGTTCAGAATAACTCTACCCTTTCTGCATGAAGTTGAATACCTTCTGCAGCCCCTGAAACAGAAATTCTGTGACTGAACTTAAAAGGCCCGCTTTTTGTATGTTTTTTACCTGCTCTGTTTTAGTTTGTATTTTGAAAGAGTATCACTTAAATTATGTACTTTCTTTTGTTTTAGATTGCAGATGTTGGATCACTTTGCTGAATGTGTCAAGCAGGCTAAAGGTGTTCGCCAGCAAGCTGTGCAGCTTAATATCTTTACTGCTGTTCTTAGTGCCTTGAAGGTAAATGTTGTAAACTTGTAATGGATGCCAAAGTTCAGCAGTTTAATTCATCAATTTGTGTTTGATATAAAAGGCTGTTAGGATAGAATATAACTAAACTTACCAGGTAAACATTCCAAAGTTTGAAAATACCAAAATCGATTTGTTTTTTTCAGATGTTTGTGTGAGCTCTGCTTGCATAAGTACACAGAACAGAGGCTCGTGTAGTCAGCTTGCTATAGTATTCAGACTTTTTTTTTTCTTTTTCAATCCGGTGGTTTTATTGGCACTGTATTCCTGGATTTAAGTACTTTATCATATATACTAAGAAAAACCGTCAGCTTCTTCTCTATAATACATGATGTGTCTGTAGTTTACATGTCTTTAATTATTATTCCCAAAGTAAAAGACTTCTTGAAAGTTGTAATGAAAGGTGATGTACTATTAATGAAATATGGGAACCAGTGAAGCTGCAGCAGAAGTGCTTAGTGTTATTGTTTAGTAGAGCATTCTCATAATGGGCTATATAAATGTTTGTGAAGATATGATTATTAAGAAAAAAATATTTTCACGAAATGTAACTGAGCTGTGGTTTTCCTGTCTGACAGAAAGAGATATTGCAGTCAGATTTTTAAAGTGTTTTGGGTTTTTTCTTTTTTTCTGGATATCCTGTGTAAACTAGCTCAAATTCAGTAGCACTAGGGTGCTTGTAACACTGTAATGCATTTGTTAAAAAAAGATGGGTACAACAGGTCTTCCTGTGTATGAAATAGGTAGTGTTGGCAAACATAAGACTGAGTAGATAGTTGATTTTGAGCTTTAAATATTTTCAGCCATTATATTTTAGGATAAATGACCACAAATTTAAACAAAATGAAAGTGCATGATTTCCAGCTGAAGATCTCAAATATAGTAAAGTTATTCTTACATCTCCCCTTTCTCCTCTGCTTCGGAATGTTGGGTTTTTTTCATATTTTTTTTTTTCCATGTAGGGTTTAGCTGAGAATAAAAGCACATTAGGACCAGAAGAAGTCCGTAAATCTGCTCTGACACTGGTAATGGGTGCACTTGATAATCCTAACCCTATTTTGAGATGTGCAGCAGGCGAAGCTCTTGGCAGAATGGCTCAAGTCGTTGGAGAAGCCTCTTTCATTGCTAGAATGGCTCAGTACAGTTTTGATAAGTAAGTTGGTTTTGATTCAGAAAAGGAAATAAAAATACAATTTAACATAGTCAGGAAGATTCCTCTACTAAAGACCATATTAATTATTCTGTTCTCTTCATGATTGCTATGATTATGTAGATCTGACAAACTTTCAAAGTCTTCTCTCTTTTATTTATTTCACAAGATTCTTCCAGGAATTAAAGCTGAGTTGTTAAACTACTTGGAATATGAAGTGATACCAATGAATATTTTGAGTTGCTTCAAGGTGATTAAACTGCTTCAGACAGATAAATGCAGTTTACACTATGTAATATGAATTGTGTGATAGTGCTTCTGTTTCATCAGAACATCCTCTTTACATATTGATTTAACTCATCTACTCGCCCATTTTTTTTTTTTCCATATTCTGTTGTTATTCTCAGGCCTTTAGAGATATGTCTGGTAGATATAACAAGACAACATGCTGTCCAATTTTTGACTTAAATTTAACATGTCAGCCTATCTGAATCAAAAGGCACCTGCTTCAGGGCTGCAGCCCATGTTTTTGGCTAGCTAGGCTGCATCCATGTAGCCTCAGTCCAGCTCTGCTACCTCTGAATAATAATTTTTTTCCCATCACTTCATCTTGTAGTAAAGTACATCATCTTTACTGTCTTTCCTTGAATTTCTGCTAGTGATATTGTTTCCTTGATTTCTTACCTAGAATTCACTTTGTTAACGGTTGCCAATCCGACACTGTTGTTTTTTCTGTAATTGAGATTTGCATTCACTTTGTTCTGTGATGGCTGTGAGCATACTTGTCTTGGGTACAGACAACTAGCAAAAAAAAAAAATCCTTGTTTTACTTAGGATATCATTTTCTCTCTCTTTCCCACTCACCAAAAGGGTTTTAATTAAAAGTTATGTATGTGATGTGCATTCAGAAGCAGAAGTATTGTGAAAATACTCAACAAGTCACTGTTTCGTACAACTAGGTCGTTCAGAATGCTGCTTGTGGTGTTTTAGTTTCATTAATAAAACACTATTTAAAAAAAAAAGCTTTATTGGAAAAATCATGGAACTCAGTTGTAGAAGAAAACAGCTGTGTTAAAAAGTTATTCACTTAACTTTGCAGTGGAAGACATACCTGTGGAGTTCTTTGTGATTTCTCAATGTATTTGATTTTTCCATTCTTGATTCCTTTGTACTGCAGTGGTCTAGGGAGCAGCCCAGCAGACAGGGACCTGGGAGTGCTGGGTGACAACCGGTTGAACAGGAGCCTACAGGTGCCCAGGTGGCCTGGAAGGCCAATGGCCTCCTGGCTTGTGTCAGGAACAGTGTGGCCAGCAGGAGCAGGGATGTGATTCTGCCCCTGAGCTCAGCCCTGGTGAGGCCTCCACTCGAGCCCTGTGTGCAGGGCTGGGCCCCTCACTGCAAGAAAGATACTGAGGGGCTGGAGCGGGTCCAGAGGAGAGCAACGAGGCTGGGGAAGGGGCTGGAGGGAAAGTCCTGTGAGGAGAGGCTGAGGGAGCTGGGGGTGTTTAGCCTGGAGAAGAGGAGACTCAGGGGGGACCTTCTCACTCTCTACAACTGCCTGAAGGGAGGGTGCAGTCAGGTGGGGGTCGGGCTCTTCTCCTGGGCAACGAGTGACAGGACGAGACGGCATGGCCTGAAACTGCGTCAGGGCAGGTTTAGGTTGGATCTCAAGAAGCACTTCCTCACGGAGAGGGTGCTCAGGCACTGGGATGTGGCACTCAGTGCCATGGTCTGGCTGATGTGGTGGTGTTGAGTCATAGGCTGGACTTGATGATCTCAGAGTCTTTCCCAGCCTCAGTAGTTCTGTGATTCTAGCAATGACTTTTCTGATTATTAAATTAGTCTACTATGAAACACTGGTAAACACTAGATGGTTTTCCTATATTTTTTTCGCTTTCAAAACTCTTCTTCATCTAAAGTGGCAAGTTTGGACCCGGAAGAAAGAAAATAACAATTCAAATAGCTTTTTGTTTTGTTTTGTTTTCCATTTACCTTACACGTAATCTGTTTTAATAGCAGTGTAGATTAAGTACATATTTTTTGCTTTTGCTGTTAAGGGTTCTCCAGGTGTTTTAAAGTGGCATTCTGTTAGTCATTTACACTAGTATTATGGTACTTGGAGGGTTCTTTGTAACAAACTTAATGAATTATATGATTTCCTTTTATTTAAACATCGATAGGTTAAAATCTGCTCGGGATGTTGTATCAAGAACGGGCCATTCTTTGGCTTTGGGCTGTCTCCATCGGTACGTTGGCGGAATAGGTTCTGGACAGCATCTGAAAACTAGTGTCAGTATTCTCTTGGCTTTGGCGCAAGACGGAACCTCTCCTGAAGTCCAGGTAAAAAACACAATCACCAGAAAATTACTTCAAAATATTCAAGATTAAAATTCAAAGTCAAATTGCCTGTCCAGGTGTTCATTAATAGAGATTGTCATGTGTAAGCCAAGTCATATGGCTGTAGCCAGGGACCATGAAGAAAGAAGAAGTTTCCTTGTAAGCTCTTACAGTAGGGAATCCCAAGTATGTACTGCAATTAAAATGTAACCTTACTGTTAGTTAGGGAGGCAGTTGCAAGTGGTCACAGTAATTTAGACTGACCAGTGTCTGCTTGTCAGCTGAACCAGAGTAATTCCCTGTGGGTGTACTCTGAACTGACTAATTATACAACTAAATGTGTTAGGTGTACCTTAGCTGCCTACACTACATTTGTAATAACTCCCTAATGTTAACATCTGATCAGTTACTGGGGTCTGAGGTGATAGACATTAGTTTTCTTTGCCAGGTAATTTCCGTATATATGATGGTGTGAACACAGTATGGCAGTACCTAGTCTTTGAGTGGTTGTGTTATGACAACAAAAAGTCTGTTGCAAGCCAAACTACAGTTGAGGCACAGAAGGGTAACTAGTAGGAGCTAAGTCCAAGACAAGGCAAAGGAAAGGGAGGTGTTTCTGTCCGCTATGGACTACAGACCTGTGGAGTCTCACCAAGGACAGCTTGACTGCTGGAAGTTGCTGGTAGAGTAAAAAGGGGACTAAACATGCTGCTGCAAGTGCAGTGCGTTTGGAGTTGCTGAACAAGTATGAACACTGTTCAGTTCAGAGTTTCCTAATTTGAAAATACTTGGAAATTAGGAGAATACGCTGTCTTTATTCTCCTAGGAGAAATTTGAGGGGTCAGCGTCTTGATCTGTCTTTACTCTCCCTTACGCATATGTGGACATTTGTCTTTACAGTAAGAAGTTGGATATTAAAGGGAAAAGTGCTGATTTTTTTTTTTCCAGCGATGAAGTCTATCAAAACACTAAAATAAAAGAATCACTTCAGAAAGAGGAAAAAAAAAAAGAAAAAGAAACCTTTTTTGAGTGAAAGCAAATGTCTTGTCTGTAATTGTTCTTCAAAGACTGTGGTGTAATTGAATGATCAAACAGTTTTTTTGTCATTGTTTTTGCAAGGTACTGCAAGGAAGCAACTATCTGGAATAGTGACTGTTGTGTTTTAGCAGCAGGAAGTCGTGTCCCACCCCTAAGTAGGCACACTTTATACCCACAGATAGAGAAGCTGAAACCCCCAGTAACTATACAGAATCATGCTTCCACCTTAGTTTATATTCTTAACTTGATGGAACATGTACTAGAGTACCTTCTTAATTCTTTTCCTTGGGGCAATAAAAAATAGAATCAAAATAATCAAGCTTATCACTTGAGAAAGCAAGCCTAGTTTTGTTTATAGATAGTATTTAAAAAAAATAATAATTTATAAATACAATTTAAGTCTCTTTGAATTTCCATAGTCGAAGGTAACACCAAGTTCAGTTTTCATATGTAACTTCGTGTTATGCATAAGTAGTTTTGAGATGTGTAGTTGTGTACCATTCATTTAAAAAAAAAAAATTGAAAAAGGTTTACTGCTTTATGAAAAAATGTGAAGGGGGAAGCCCAGGTGGAACTTGCATACCTACCTTCTTTTCTGTTGAGTGTATGTCACCAGACCACTGTAAAAAGCTAATCTTTGAAACCTCATCCCTCACTAGATCAGTACAGATACACAGAAGGTGTATGGAAATATGAGTAGTGGAAGCTTACAGGAATGAAAGGATAAGCTGAAATGTGCTACCATGTAGGTAGGACTGTAGAATTAGTTTCATGGTTGCTAGTCCTAATGCTTTTTGGTGTTGCATCAGAGAGGATTAAGAAGGAGCAGTTTTCAAGGCAGATTTTCCTGCTCAGGTCCTAAGAGTCTATCCTTGTAGCTGGAATATTCTTTTCAACTGTATTTTCTTTTTTAACTTGAGCTTTTCAGTGCAGTAGTATCACATACTTAATAGAAGAAAATTCTGATGTAAGATCATTTAGTAGGATATTATGGAGAGACAGCTAATGCGTTCAGGTCTCTCAGAGGGATTTATTTCCTATGAAGTGCTGGTGACCAAAGAGACTGTCCTCTCTTGCCCCTTGCCCTTCTTACTTCGACAATTACAATAAATTGCTTTGCTCTTTTGTTATTTACTTACTGTGCAGCTGGAATAGGTTGATCTTTCATCATTTTTTTTCCTCATCCTGTAGTACACTGTGAACACAACTGCTTATTTCTCTTGCACCCTTTAATAAGAAAACTAGTTAGAAGATGCATGTGAACCTTTGAAGTTGTCATAAAAATCACATTCTACTAATATGTCAAAGGCAATGCCCACTGAGGACTTTGTCAGCTGCCCATTTCAGACTGTACATCCAGTTTTACAGTGGAATCATTCTCTCTTTCTTCTGTTTTAAGTCAGTCTTTTTTTTTTTTGTATGTGTGTGTGCTTAACTACTTTTCTCGAATTCTTTGTTGTCGTCTCCATTATCACTAAAACTACTGGTAGCCGAGAGTATGCTAGTTTAAGTTCCCAGGTGATTGGTTGAGATTTTGAGACCGTTGCAATGTTTCTGGAGTCAGAGTAGCTAAATAACCGTTAAACAAGGACCTACAGAGCTAGGCTCAGTCTGCATACAAAATTGTTTAAATTGCCTCCATTTATTACTGAAAAATATTCCTGTTTTTTTGATAGACCTGGTCTCTTCATTCACTTGCCTTGATAGTAGATTCCAGTGGACCTATGTACCGTGGATATGTGGAACCAACACTTTCGCTAGTTCTTACTTTGCTCTTAACTGTTCCACCATCACATACGGAAGTACATCAGTGCTTAGGCCGATGTCTTGGAGCTATAATAACTACTGTTGGACCTGAGCTGCAGGGTAAGTGGGAATTTGAAGAGCAAAAAAAAAATCTTAACTTCTATAAATATAATATATTGCAATCTTAAATGGACGAAAATAAATTTTTGTTTGTTGCAGGTGGTGGGGGGAATGCTGACAAATTCAGTTACAGTCCTGCAAGCAACCTCACTTCTGATCTTACTCATGAGTGCTTGGGACTCTTTTGACTGCAGTTTGAGATTTGTGTAAAGAAATTGTGGTCATGTATGGTGTTCTGGTGAATGGCAAATTTGCATGTAGGTAAAAGATGAAAAAACCCCTTCCTGCATATTTTGCTGCATATATTTTTGTGTATAAGTGGGGCAAGAAGCAAGATTTTTCCTCTGCTGTTGCAAACTTGGATATTTGATGACCTCTGATGGCAAGAGCCTAAGTTGGACATAATTGATAATATTGTGAACTGTATATAATTTCCAGTTATTCTTTGTGTTCTTAGATCACTGTACCTTACTCTAGGAAAGATCTTGTCATGCCAAACACCATATCTGAAATTCTGTGTTCCAGGTGGCAAAACCACAGATTTGTGACTTTATCTAACTCAGATTTTTAGGAATATTTATAGGATGCTCTTTGAGGCAGTGCCAGAGAGCCAACCACTAGTGAAGTTTTAACTCTAAATAAACTGGACTTAAATTACGAGTTATGGAAAATTTTAGATGCTTTAACTGAACTTGTGTATCTGCTTGCTGTTGTTAACCTTTTTATCAGAAATGTCATTAATTATTTTTATAAATAACAACTTATATAGAAAGCCTTCTACAAGTTACATTCTTCTGTAATTCAACCTTTTTTTTATATAAACCTGATGCAGATCAATTCTTAAAATACAGAATAGGATTATTTTTCAAATTAAATACTGTTCTTTTGAATGCTTGTCCTGTTAGAGTAGTGCAGCTCCTGTAATGGAGCTAACTGAAATCCCCTGCATGCATGTGTTCTAGCTTAAGTGTAATCTGATATTTTAGGAAATGGTTTGATGCATGAAATGTTGCTCATATGTATAGAATGAAAGAGAACTTCAGAATTTAAATTCAGATAACTTTACTAGTGTAATGTCCTGAGGAGATAGTCTCAAAATATTTCTGCTTGGTAATCCAAAATTTTGTTTGGAGAAGACATTATTTAACTGAACTAAAAAAGAGATACTGAACCACTATGCAGTGTTTCTTTCGAAGCCATGTAGATACTAATTTGCAGTAGAAATTCAGAAAAGTTGTGAACTTTGAAGCATTAAAAATTGTTTGTCCGAGATTTAAAGTCTTCAGCTGTCATAGAAAAATTTTACTTTGTTAAGGATCTTGTATTACATCATTAGGTAATGGAGCTACAATTTCAACAATCCGTTCTTCCTGTTTGGTGGGATGTGCAATCACACAAGACCATTCGGACTCACTTGTTCAGGCAGCTGCCATATCCTGCCTTCAGCAGCTTCATATGTTTGCCCCACGGCATGTCAACCTTTCCAGTCTGGTTCCCAGTCTTTGTGTGAGTACGAAAGGCATCCCTTTCCTTCCTTGGAGTTTTATGTATGTGCTTGGCAGAGGACAGGAGAAATACTTAGCAAGAATTTAAGGGCACCCCTGTGTGATAAGCAAAGTAACATTTGCAAAACCACTGAAGTGCAGTAAAGGGAAGTCTGACCCCAGGCCATCGTAGATCTTTCAGAATGCTGCCCAAACTGAAGTCATAGGGTCTGATTCTCTTTGACCCAAGACAGCGCAAGACAGCAAACAGTTATATATAAGTAAAAAGATGCTGAAATGCTATTTCCTCCAACTGATCCCATCCACAGAGAGAAGTCAATGAGGTGGGGAAAGGCAGGAGATTTTAGATTTATTTTACCACTGTCAGCATAATAGATGCTGGTATTCAGATTCTTGTGCTGCTGTTGTTAGCCCTCCATTAGTATTCTGTCAGCAAGTCCTGGCTTAAGTCTGGAAGTGAGGCAGAGGCTGGAACTGAAAACATACCGAAAACACCTGTAAAAGGAAAGGTGTTGTGTGTGGATGTGCTTTTTGGTGTGATTGGGTTTTGTTATTATTACTACTATTTTTTACTTTATTTTTTAGAGTGTTCAGCAGTCCAGTATTGAGAAATTTGAAATGCTTCTCCTTAATGTCTGTTGAATATTTTGCAAAATTCTTTGTGTCATTCTTTCTGGAACCATTGGTTCCATGTAACCTGAAGGAGTGTGATTGTAGAGACGTTTTTGTCAGTTTTCCAGGCACACTTTCCCTGGGGCACCCTCTCACTCTTACATACTTCCTCCACTCCACACGGACCCTTGCTTCCTGCCCCTTCCCACCCAGCCCAGCCCAGGAGCACTCGTGGCTATGCAGTGTGTTCCCAGAATCTGTCACTTGTCCTTTCACGAAAGTTTGCTTGAAAGGAGAGCAGTGTACCCAAAAGCAGGTAGACCCTTTTCTATGAATACTGTGTACCACTTAAACAATTCCTATAGCCATGTAAGTATACCCTGTAAGTACTGCTGGGTAATATTACAGACAATGAAGTTCACACAAGAATGACTAGTACTGTTTTTAAAATTTTTCCCAGGGTTTTCTGCTGTCTCTTTCCTATTCCTTTATGGTCCTCTGCTGAACAAAAGCTATTTTCTTTCTCTTTTTTTTTTTTATTTCTTACTTCCAAGTCATACTTAGCTTTCTAAGTTTTCCTCTGAAATGTCTTGTGCATTTCTTGATACTGCAAATATATAGATATGTAGGCAAAGCCTGCCATATCTGCCCTACTAGCAAACTCTTCATTGCTTTCTAACTCACCCTTGAATGGAATGAATGGCAGATAGCAAAATTAAACCACACAATTCCACAATCTGTTTTAATTTCTTCTTTTTACATTGGCTTCGTAACCACTAGTTGTTTGGTTTGTATCTTAAAACGGGGAATACTTTTTCTATTAATTAAATCCCTCAAATATTCTGTGGTTTAGTTCCATTAAAACAACCTCAGTGTGATATTTAGAGGTTCCTTCAAGTCTGTTTAGTTTTGTTTTTTTTTCATCGCTAAAATTTTGTATATTCATGGAATAAAGATCTACTGTTAAAATGGTTTATAAATTATACAACCCTTTCATTTAGGAAAGCTGTTTCCATCTGCATAATAACCTAATACTGAGAAAGTAAATGTGTATTTGGTTTATTAAAAACAAACTCCCCAGGGTAAATAAAGAATCAGGGTTTCTTAAAGAGCACTCTTCATATCTTCCACTGTGAAAGAACATACAGTTCTCTGTGCAGCTACTTTCTCCCAGGAAAATAGGGACCATGGACAATTCTTCGATAAGAAAATTACTTGCATGTACTTGAGGTGATTCAAAAGAAATTAGAAGACAATGCTGGTTAGCAAAGAAAGCTGAAGCTGTCTTATTGAGAGACACTTATAAAAACTTACACTACAAATTCTGTTACAAGTTTGAAATAAAAGTTTTTTATGATGGCTGCCATGTGTTGTGCACCTGATGATGGCTTTTTGTTTAAAGGATTGCGATTTACAGCTGTAGCTGAAAGCATAGTACTGAACAGTGTAAGAGATGGGAAAGCATAAATCACAGTGGTGCAGTAGTTCTAATACTTAAGCTCTTACCTCTTCAGCTGGGTTAACAGCTGTCATATTTGTACATTGTAAAAAGTGCTTATTTCTGAACTTCCTAGATCTTGTAAAGAGTTTAGTACCCAGCAGCTCACACATGGGCATATCGTTGAAAAGCAGAATGCCCTTAGTCCTTAGTCAGCAGCACTGATTTATTGATATGGGGGTGCAGCAGTTCACTCACCTCTAATGGTTCTGATTTTTAGGTTCATTTGTGCAGCTCCCACTTGCTGCTTCGGCGGGCTGCAGTTGCATGTTTACGACAGCTTGCTCAGAGGGAAGCAGCAGAAGTATGTGAATATGCCATGAGTTTAGCGAAAAGTGCTGTAGACAAAGAAAACAGTGGCATCAGTAAGTATTGCTTTCATGTGGCCTTTTTGTAACAGTCGAATGCACATCTGTGTGTGTATGTGTGATTTGCCTTCAGAGGAAGGGAGAAAAAAAAGAAACCTGAACAACCCATCCTGACAACAGAAAAGAACACCTAAAATTGTCCCATCCAGCTCCAGTAACTTCTGGCCACACATCCCTGCTTACCTCTTGAATTTCACTTGTAGAGTTCAGACTTGAACTTCTCTGCCCTGTTAAAAGTAGAGATCAAATAGGGAATGCAGTGTACATGCAGTGGAAACATTTTACAGATTTTCTGGTATATTAGGTCTTGCTCTTTTGAAAATTGACTTAAGTGTATGCTGTTTGATTGAGATACCTGGTTGTACCACGTGTTGCCTGATCTAGTCAAGAGGTGGCGTCCCTGGCAACAGGGAGGTTGGATTAAAATGATCTCTAAGGTCCCTTCCAGCGTAGGCCATTCTATGAGTATGTTCTGTTCGCAGTGTGTCTGCAAAGCCTGTGGACTTTGCTGGTTGATTCAATGAGTACATGTATTGTTTTATTTTGAAATTAGGCACAACAGTGTTCATCAGCCACACTCTTCATAGAAACATAGGATCGTGAGCTTACTTGCATGAAATCACACCAATTAAGTCTGTCTCTGGCAAGATTTTTTTAGAGTCCAGCCCTTTTAGGGGTTTTCACAAATTCATGGGGTATGTACATTTTATTCATTTAGGAAGTAATACAATGGGGTGCTATTTGCCTTGCAGAAAATAAATTAAATTAGTTTCTATGTTAAAATCTTTCTACTGTTAATTCAGAAGAAATTTAGTAACATCTTGGTGTATCATTGCTTGAACTATACACACACAAATACACGATGTCCAATTCTAGCCTGTTATTCCAAATTTTAACTGAGTTACTTGTTTTGGAAAAGACTTCTCATTATTGCTTTGCAGATACTAATCCTTTTGCACCAGGAGCTGGTTCTCGGCGAGATGCTCATTGCCGGCATCAGGGGGTTAATATAACAGAGACGGGCCTTGAAGGTGTCCTATTTGGAATGTTGGATCGAGAGACCGATCGGAAGTTGTGCTCAGATATCCACGATACTCTGGGACATATGCTTTCATCGCTGGCAGTAGAAAACCTTTCTCACTGGCTAATGCTTTGTAAGGATGTCCTTGCAGCTTCCAGTGGTAAGTGTTCTGTAGTGTTCACATAAATGACAGTATGCCCTTAGTACTAGCATCTTCTGGCAATATTTGTTTGAAGCTTGGCTTTTGCCCTGATTAAGGGTTTAGCATGGTTAAAACATAGTTTGCATTGTATGTAGAAATTTGATTATAGTGCATTGAATCTTCATTAGACAAAAGAAATCATCATTGTTATGTTAAGTTTTAGAATATTGCTTTTAAGAATAAAAAACTGCCTTAAAGAAGTATTCCCAGCGGAGAAGCAGTGTGGTTATTACTCTGACATTTCAGTATCTTGGTGAAAGCAGATGTTCTTTTTAGCTTTTTTACATCAGAACCATACAGAAAGAAGAATGCTTTACATGCTCTGAGCTTTCTTTTATGAGGTTTTGTGACTTACTGATACGACGATGGGTTACCATGGTGATGAAACTTTTGCTTGTTTTTCAGCTGTGCAGACTTGTTTGCACAGATCTTGTCCTCTGAGACCTTATTCCTGTTTTTCAGCTTGTAGGATGGTTGTGACGCAGATTCTGCTTATTTCCCGTGACTTTGTACTTGTTTATTGGCATACTGTGAGTTCATCCTGAAGCTCTTTCTAAATGTTGCCAGCTTTACATTTACTGATGAGTAAGGCTGCCAATGATTTCTTTATGCAACGTGGTTACCATATATCTTGCCCAGTGAGAAAGACCTCATTTCCCAAGTTTGAAGTTGGCTTGTCCTTTTCTTATTTCATGTGGGATGAGTTTTAAAGTTTTTAACATGGCTGTCCAATCTCTTATTTATTTATTAGAAGGTGAAATAATCTTTAAGAGAACCATTTTGAAATAGATTTCTCTCAGCTGTACTTAAAGCCAGTTTTAAGGTCCTGGATGCCTTCTCAAAATACTCTTGTTAATTGGCATCATCTATGTTTGATTTCCCATAGCCTTTATCTCTCTTTATTAGACTATCTTGGCTCTTTAGCTCCTTAACTTTAGACTCTATAAGAAGCATGCCTTAGTTGGGGTGGGTTGGCATTGCAATAATTTCTTCTCATTTCACTCTAATTATTGCAAGAGTAATCTTTGTCAGTATCTTGGCATTTTGCTAATTTAGACCTTGTCACTGAGATTTTATGTTCTTCTGAATAGCAGAAGCCTGTATGCATGTTTGGTGAGTTGTTTTTTTTGTTCTGTTTGGATTTTTGGTGGATTTTTTTGAAATCTCTGAAGTAACTTCATTTCTGACAAGAAATCTCACAGCCACACTTAGGAAAAGAATTTTTTAAATGTTAAGCACATTTGAGGGTGCCATAAACTGCCTACTTGGCTATCTATTTGTCCCATGGCATGGAACTTCGTAGCTGTCTTTCAGTTTAGCATGCACTCTAGCTTTTACTTGAAACAGGAGCTGAATAGTTCAAAGCCAAGGTGACTTTTTTGATTCTGAGCCTGGTGATCTTACCCTGTTTATTGGCAATTTAATAGGTTAATTTTCAAAGGTGAGAAATTCAGATACAGGAATCAGCTACAGTTGGTATCTGTGGAGAATTAATGTTACAGGACTTTACTTCATATCATTTAAGCCAAATAAAGGGTAATGTAGCTCCAATTAGAGGGGAAAAACATCTATTTTACTGATATTCCTACGCCTTTTGACATTTTCGAATGTTCTTGTTTCAACAGAAGAATTAGCCTGTTTAGAATCCGAGCATAAGGAAAAGCTTGAATATGTGCTTAACTGTCTTCTGCAGATTTTAACAGTGGGATTTTTTCTTTTTTCAATTGTTCTCTGTTGTAGACATGAGCACTGCTGCTCCCTTAGGAGGAGGAAAGGATGAGGAATCAGAGAAGAAAGATGAGATGGACGATGATACAATGTTTACCACCTTGGGTGAAGAGGATAAATCTAAGCCTTCTGTAGCACCTCGCTGGGCAACTCGTGTGTTTGCAGCAGACTGCCTGTGCCGAGTTATCATGCTGTGTGAGAATGCGAACAAGGCACACTTTGATCTGGCGCTGGCTCGTTCAGCCAGACTTAAAAACCCAAAAAGTAATTACAGCATGTACATGTTTTGTTTTTGGTTTTGTTTTATTTTATTTTGCTTTATTTAATTTTGTTGTATTTTATTTCTTATATTTTATTTTATTTTATTATTTTATTTTAT